GGCCGTAAGACCTCAGGGTAAATAAGGATAGGCTAACAGTGTGGACACGTGAGAACACTGATTTTATGTCAAGTTCTTAGAAAGAGTATTATATGGAAACATAATAAGTCAGGTGTGGCGGCACGTGCCTATAATCAACACTTGAAAGGCGGAGACAGACAATCTGGGGTTTTAGGCTAGCGTGGGCTAAGACCCTGTGTTGCATCCCAACTCCCCAAAACGATATACAGTAAAGAATTCATACTTAAGTGCCAAATTTTTAAGTTACTAAATTTTAGGTATTATTGACCTATTTAAGGACCTTCTAGACTTCTCAGAGGAGCACATAATCAGTGTATTCAGCTGAAAAGTCAGGAGATACAGTTAGTGCAGGCTAGTACAGTTCATCCGTACACGGCAGTCAAGACATCCCAAGTCTTTCCCCCATGTCTATTTCTGTTACACACTCTTCCTCAGTGTCCCTACAATCCCTAGAAATAAACATTTAAAAAGAGGGGCTGTATAAAAACAACTCACAGCGTTATATTTTGATAACCTTTGTAGTAAATTATAAAGCTGACTATTAATGCTTATCTAACTTGGACTTCAAAAGATGTCATCAGAAGACTTTGTTCTAAATATATTCACCAATATGACTTATAAGGGGAAAGCCTAGAGCCTACAGCTGGGGCTTAGCAGAAACTTGCTCAGCATGCGTGAGGCCAAGTCGCACCCCCAGCACCACACACACAAACCATTAAAAGGAAATGCCATGTCTTCTAGTTTTGTCCTGTTAAGTCAGTGGTTCCCAATTTTCCTAATGCAACCCTTTAATACAGTTCTCATGTTATGGTGACCCCCAACCAAAAAATTATTTTGTTGCTATTTCATAACTGAATTTTATTACGATTATGAATCGTAATGAAATACCTGTGTTTTCCAAAGGTTTTAGGTGACCCCTGTGAAAAGGTCATTGAACCCCCAAAGAGTGTGAGAAGAAAATAGAATCCTCAAACTAAACTGGCTTTTCAGTGGCAGGGAAAGCAGCTGAAGGTAATACAATTACTGAATTATAGACGGGCACACTAGTGCACCTTAAACAGACGACAAACCTCCTTCCATGTGTGACTGAGACACTGTTGTTCAAATTATTTAATGTGTAAAGAATAATTTCCATAACGGGTGACTCGCTTGTTTTGACTGATGCTGTTACTCACCTAAAAAGCCGGTAGCATGGAATGTATTTCTGAATGTCTAGAAAGAAAGGATTTAGGTTATGAGTGCAGTAATCGTTTGCCCACCCCGCTGAGGCGTGTTCACCTTACGCCGCGAGCTTCATTAAGCACACAGTACTTCATTTGCTCTTCAGACACACCCCAAGACTCTTACTCTGTCGACGGCCATGGGGCCAAGAGGAATCACGGGACTCCCCAGAGACACAGGGCTAAAAATCCTACCTGGAACTACATGCTATATTCACTAGTCAAAGACAAACATGTAGAACCCAAGTGTTGATCCTTCTGCCTCCACCTTCTAAGTGTGGGGTTACAAGTGTGTACCACTATACCCACTCATATTTTTTTTTGCAGTGCTTTAAAAAAATATTTAGGGTATATATTTTAACAGTTTAAACACACACACACATACAAGCTGGAGAGATGGCTCAGTGGTCAAGAGCATTGCCTGCTCCTCCAACGATCCTGAATTCAATTCCCAGCAACCACATGGTGGCTCACAACCATCTGTAATGAGATCTGGTGCCCTCTTCTGGCCTGCAGGCATACATGCAGATAGAATACTGAGAATACGTACACATAATAAATAAATAAATCTTAAAAAAAAAAAACCAACAACACACACAGCACACAGGCAAGATGGCTCAGCAGGGAAAGGCACTTGCTGAAAAGCTTGACCAACTCAGTTCAATTCCTGGAACCCACACGATGGAAGGAGAGAAACGACACCTCCCCACCCCCATCCCTGCAGTTACACATGACACATGTATCCCCCATAACAATTAAAATGTTACAAAAAAGAGCAGTGCCATTTATGCTATTTACATTCAGCATATGAACTACCCAAACCATACAGAACTAAGTGACTCACCAATTGTATAAACAACTTTAACGTTATCCATTTGTGAATCAGTAATGCTATTCTGGGCTTCACCTTTCACTTCACCGAGAAGAAAACCTTCCTATAAGAATAAAAATAAGAAGCAGTATAAGAAACAGACTGGAGAGGATTACTGCTGTTTCCGAGTCATCTTTTCTCAGTATTTTAGTGTATACACGTGTGGGTAACTGGGAAAGGCTATGCGGAGAAGAAAGCCCTAACTTTAAACAGATGGGTCATAATTTGGGAAGGCAGAGCTAGAAACACTTAGCAGTCCAAAGCAGAAGAACGGAGAGTCTAGGGCCCCGCAGCGCGGTTTGTCGTGGGGACTAACTACAGCGTTCACTGTACAACCCTTACTACTAGCACGGTGCGGAAAGCGGCTTTAGACACTGGAGCCCTGACACTTTGGAACGAAGACACAACACTTGACACACTCAGTTACTCGACACTGTTCAGTACACTCTCTGGCCTGTTTTAGTGCAGTCCCCAAAGCTCCTTTAGATATTGTTTTTACTTTCTTTCACTATGTTACTAAGAATTTATTACAAGATGCTACTTCCCGACCTCAAAGTTTTAAAGTGAGTGTTTTTGATTTGTATTTGAGTCAGGGTTTCTCTGTAGCCCTGGCTGTCCTGGAACTTGCTCTGTAGACCAGGCTGGCCTTGAACACAGAGATCCACCTGCTTCTGCTTCCCGAGTGCTGGAAATAAAGGCACACGCCACCACCGCCCAGTTTACAGTGAGATTTTTAGATCTTCTAAATTTTAAAAATAGGCTTCTATTTTTTTTTTTCCACTTTGACTCGGTGGCTTCGAAAGTAAGCAAAAGTTTAACGATGCATTTACACATGTGACCCAGGACCAATCTGCATTTGTAACGGAAAGCGGCACAGAAAGTAGTTGGGCCGTCCTCTCTCAGGACGGGTTTGGGCAGCCACCCTGAGCCCCAGAACCCGGATCGGCCAACCCCCTGCGGCTGGCAGCCGTGGCCGACCTCCCGGTCCTAGCCGCAGACCGCCGGCAGGGCACGGCGCGGGGATCCCTCGCGAAGTAGTGGGTAGTGAGGGCGGAAAGCGGCAGGATCTCCCGCGCCCAGCAGGAGGCCGCCAGGAACTGCACCCCCAAACTTGACCAGGTCGGAAGGGTCCGGATGAGAGCCAGGGAGGGCGCCCCGGTCCGCAAGCCCACACGGCCAGCGGGAGCTGCGGGCAGGGACGGCGGGGACGACAGCCTCGCGCCCAGCTCACCGTGTCCGAGTTGGTGTTGAGATGCTGGAAGGTGAGCGCGCCAAACACGAAACCAGACAGCACCCCCAGTGTGCTCTCGCCCTCCATACCTCCGGCCCAGGCGCTGCCGCCACTACCGCGGCACGTGACGGGAGGCCCGAGGGCGGGGTTTGAGGGGCGGGGCCTGGGGGGGTGGCGCCTGCGCACGAGGAGCAAGTGTTTTGGAGGGAGTGCGAGTGCCCTCTAGCCCAGGACAACTCTTGGATCAGCTTGGCTGAGATACCTGCATGCAGGCATGCCTATTTATGGGTAGTTTAAGGCAATTAATGGTTGTAAGAATAAGAATTGCTTGGCAATATTTTAATATCACAGATATGTCCCATCTTGGTTTTCTAACTGTATTATTATATTACACTGTCCTTCACCTATTGAAACTTAGAAGACCAATCATCAGTTGTGGTGGGAATCTTTTTTAGTTTATTCCAGTGTGTTGCATTATTCTGTCTATGCGTGTGTGTTTGGTTCTGTCGTTTGTTTGCTTGCAATTAAAAAGTTAAGAACTGAGTCTAGTTTAAAGACCACATAGGTTTTTTTTTTTTAACATTATGAGAGTTTAATGATAAGCATAATCACACTGCTGGGTCATTTGCTATAAGTGAAGTGTGTACGAAGATGTGGGGTTGACACATATTTCACATGTGTGTACATACACAGTGATGAAAAGTGATGGTTTTTAAAGCATTGAAGGCTGGCGAAAGAACAGACTACTGAGCTGAGTTAGTATTGTGTGTCTGGGTTTCGTTGTGCAATAGCCAGGACTGGCTTGGCAGTGGGCAGGAGGAAGGCGGCACAGCTCCACTCTTTCCCTTAGGGAATTTCGGGGTAACGGTGTGGAGAGGAGGAAGGGTTTATTAAAAGACATCTTATATATGGATTCTAAGCATCAGGGTTAACAGAGACGCTCAGGGAAAGCGTAAGATGGGTGTGGGCTTCTTACGGGAGAGTTATACCCATGTCACATATGTAGATAATAGATATAAATTTTTTGTAGTGTGAGGCCGAAATAGATTCCATTTCTGTGCTGGACCCTTTTGGGACCTTAAACTATACCCCAGTCCCCAGGATAACCTGAAGGCCGCGGTGGTATGGGAAGTCCTTCTGTATATGTGTTGCTTTTATTGGTTAATGAATACAAAAGCTGCTTTCGGCCAATGACTTAACAGAATATATCCAGGCTGGAAAAGATATATACAGAGAGTCGGCGGAGTCAGGAGACTCCATGGAGCCACCATAGGAGAAAGATGCAGGCTGCCAGTTGGAACCTTGCTGGTAGGCCATGAACCTCCTGGTAAAATATAAAATAATAGAAATGGATTAATTTAAGAGATAAGAGTGAGCTAGAAATATGCATAAGTTAATAGGCCAAGCAGTGGTTTTATTAATAAAGTTTCTGCGTGGTTATTTCAGGGCGGAGCAGCCGGGAACAAACAAGTGGCCTTCCACCAACACTGCAGGACCCACGCCCCCTCTTGCTCTCTCTTTTTGGCTTTTTTCGAAACAGGTTTTTTGTGTAGCTTTGGAGTCTGTCCTGGCACTACCTCTTGTAGACGAGGCTGGCCTCAAACTCATAGAGATCCGGGGCTGGAGAGATGGCTCAGTGGTTAAGAGTATTGCCTGCTCTTCCCAAGGTCCTGAGGTCAATTCCCAGCAACCACATGGTGGCTCACAACCATCTGTAATGAGGTCTGGTGCCCTCTTCTGACCTGCAGACATACACACAGAATATTGTATCCACAATGAATAAATAAATAAATATCTAAAAAAAAAAAAAAAACCTCATAGAGATCCACCTGCCTCTGACTCCCGAGTGCTGAGATTAAAGGTGTGTGCCACCACTGCCCAGCTGATCCCTCTCTAGAGGAAGTATTAGCTAATGGAGAAACCTAAGTTATACAAAGTTGCCCATTCCCCCACATGGAGTCATATAGAGAATGTTGACCACCCAACTTTCCCTGTCAGCTGGGTAATATTTCAAACAGTCCCTGTGGTTAGCAAAGGGTCAGCAGATGTCTGGAGGACATAACCGGGGCGGGGTGGGGGGGACAGACCTGTTGCTATTCCCCTTAGATAACAATAGCCTATCAGGAACTAACAGCAGGGCTTTACCTAATCTTTAGTCAATTATGATATAGGATACATAATTTTGTATTTTGAGACTGTAACCTTGTGACTGCTTCGTGGTTTTTTCTTTATAAAACCCTTACAATAGTCGATGGGTCCTTCTCCCTCCATCTGCTGTGTTACACCGGGAGGCAGAGGCCCTGTGCTAGCCCGTACTTAATAAAGGAAACCTTGCTTTTGCATTCGGAAGTGTGGCTCCGTGTTAATCTTCTTGGGGGTCCTAGGACTCGGGTACAACAGTAGTACATCTCAAATGTATCATGTATATTATTATACATGACATATGTGTGTGTTGCTCTCACATTTAATTTTCAGAAAAGTAGTATGTGTATCTAAAGAACTGCATAAACAGGGGGTCAAGTTTGATTGTGATGGCAAGGGGAATAAAAATAAGAGCCCTAGCTGACGAAATAAGAGTCCTAGCTGACGAAAGTCGCACTCAGGGTGTAGTTTTCCTGCCCCTTAACCTCTGCACTTCCATCCTCTCCTGTGCAAGTGTTTTCATTTACCTCAGTTCCCTGATGTGGAATTGTGCGGGGAGGGATAGTTTCCCTAGTCTTCTCAGAAGAGTAACTCCTACATAAGCCTTTGCTTCCAGCTCTCATTCCCTGAGCACTGGCTTATGTGTGGAGCAGGTGAGCTTGGATCCGGTAACA